TTTCACATGCTGCATGTGTGTGACATTCAGTATTTGTTAATTACATGAATTATTCTAAGATTGTCTATTTTGCCCTCCTCTAACTTTGGAATAATACAAATGGTCTTTCCTTCTTTCATTGGCATTTTCTAGCTTTACATCATTAATGCCAAAAGATGATGTCCTATATCTTAAAATACTATCTATCTTATCTATCTATAATTTTATATACATATGTTCATATATATATATAATTTTATATGCATATATATTTTGTTGTTGTTATTATTGTTGTTACAAAGGATTGAATTCAGGGCCTTATGCTGGTGAGCTATATCTGTGGCTCTACCTTCTTTTTTATTTTTTATTTATTTTTAAAAATAATTTTGAGAAACAAATAGCAATGAGACAGTTTCACAACCGATTCCTAGCACATTTTTTATAATTAACAAATTGTATATTGTTGTCTTAGTGGTTATTCATTGTACAAGATGCAGACATGATATACTATCTCAAATACTATTAGAACAAACCTCTCTATCCACAGAATTAAGAGAATGGAGCTGTATATCTATCCTGACTATTTTGAGTATACTGATACAAAATGGTCATTCATTTCTATCCCAATTTTTGGTTAGTTTTGTCAGAGAAGGGCATTCCATTGTCATTTAAATACTGTAGGTGCATGAATTCAGCAAAATTTCCCAATACAGTCCAGTAGCCCATAATAGTAGTGAGTTTTTTGTAAGACTGGCAATATCTGCAGTTGTTGACTGAGCCTTTTACAGCTCAGAATATTAATATGGTTTTACTTTTTATAATTCATTTTCATACTTTTCTGCTGGATGATTAAGACGGAGATAAAGCAAGACCTATATAACAAGAAATGTAACTTTTGTATCTGATAAGGTCAGCCAAATTCCCTCGGAATTTAACCTGAAACCCTGTACCACACTTTGTAGATCCTTTGTCAATGTCAGCCATGTGGATGAGTCATAGCCACTGCTTGACCAATTTGCTCTCTGTGAAAGCCTGAGAGAATGTTTTCTCTCCATGTGACTCTCCTTGTGTCTACCTTCATTTTTAAACACTTTGTTATCAACAGAATAGTAGGGCTCCTTGGCATCATATTAGTCTACTTTTTTTCACCCAGGCTAGCATTTACTCTGTTATCCTCTGATATCTAGGAAGTACCTGTAATATTCCTTTCTAGATTAACTTCTTAAAATCATCCTTCAATATCATTTTCCATTTTAGTAGCTCCCTTTGAGAATGTATCCTTTTTGTTTCAAAATGTGTTGTTCCTTTTTTTTCTCTTGAAGATACAGTAGAAATCAGGAAGGGAAAAGAGGATTTGCTCTTTTACCCTAGGAATTATCATCTGTCTTTTAGGAATTTCATTTCTTTTAGTGAAAGTAAAGCAACTGCCTGGAATTCTTTGACTGTTTCTCTTTGTCAGTCTTCATAAAAATTGTACAGCCTATGACCATTAGAATTGATCCGCAGCAGTTTGATCTTTTTTGTGACATTACCTTAGGAGCTCATAAAGCGTGTACTTACATTCAAAGACGGTTATTGTTACTTGCCTGTGGGTATTTAGGGGGGAATAACACCTTGGGGTTGGATTTTTTTGACTTATTAGCACTATACAGAAAGGTTATATACCTTTTATTTTGAGTTGTAAGCTTAAAATGGGGCTTTGGAGCCATACTAGCATATAAAAAAAATTCCTCTGTCTCACAATATAAAGTTTAGCATCAGTCTAAATGTTCCATTTGAGTTAGTTAAGAGGGTCCCTTTGGGCTGGAGAGATGGCTCAGTGGTCTAAAGCACCTACTTAGAACAAGCTTAGCAAAAGCATCAGGGACCGCGGTTCAATCCCCCAGCACCACAT